TTGGCCGAGGTAAGGGAATGGATGAGGGCCAATAAACTGAAACTCAACCCAGACAAGACGGAGGTCCTGTTGGTTGGCGGATCGGGTTTCGGAGAGGGTGGATTTGACCTGGTCCTGAATGGTGCAACACTCCCTCTTAGGGATAAGGTCCGCAGCTTAGGAGTACTCCTCGACCCGGAGCTTTCTTTGGAAGCTCAGGTGACAGCGGTAGCGAGGAACGCCTTCCTTCAGCTTCGGCTGATTAATCAGCTGTGCCCCTACCTGGAGTACGACTGCCTGGTGACGGTGACACACGCACTGGTGACTTCCCGCCTAGACTTCTGTAACGCGCTTTACGTGGGGCTTCCCCTGAAGACAGTCCGAACACTTCAATTGGTGCAAAATAGAGCTGCCAGGTTGCTGACGGGGACAGGGCGTTATGCTCACATGACTCCAGTCCTCCATCAGCTTCACTGGCTTCCCATTGAAGCCCGGGCCCAATTCAAGGTGTTGATTATGACCTACAAAGCCCTAAACGGCTTGGGTCCTGGCTACCTGAACGAGCGCTTACGTCCGTATATGCCCGACCGCCCTTTGAGATCTGCGGGAGAGTCCCTTCTCCGGGAACCCTCCATGAAAGAAATTAGGAGAGTAAGTACCCGGAGGAGGGCTTTCTCTGCGGTGGCGCCCAACCTATGGAATTCACTCCCCAAAGAGGTCCGCCTGGCACCGTCGTTACTGGTTTTTCGGCGCCAGGTAAAGACCTTTTTATTTAAACATCATTTCAATTGTTAAAACATATGATCTGGCCTGGGCAACTTCTTCTTCCTTCTCTTTCTCCTCCTATATTTTTATTTTATACTGATAATTTTAATTTTGTATTTGTAAATCAATGTATTTTTTGTATTGTTATATTTAATGGTAATTTATTATGTACTATTGTATTTCAATGTATTTTATCATGTTGTAAGCCGCCCCGAGGTTTCGGCAAGGGGCGGCATAGAAATGTAATAATAATAATAATAATAATAATAATAATAATAATAAGAAGAAGAAGAAGAAGAAGAAGAAGAAGTTCATAGAATGCTGCTTGGTGTCCCAAGTAATTCAGAATTTTCCATCCAGTTGGACTACTATAACACCAAGTCACCTTTCTCTTTCCTCAACTGGTGGAAGAAGTTATCATTATAGCAAACATTCAATAGTCACTGCATCAAGCCCCAAAATTGTAATTTGTACTATCACATTAGTTATCCCATATTAGAAAGAGTTTTAGTACAATCTGCTGAATGCTAACACACTAGGTATGAGTTTTATCCCTCTGTTGCCAAACTAGAGGTTTCAACAGCAGTCTTTCTTCAGCTTGCAGAATCCAGAAACAGGAAATCCTAGCTTTCAGACCCCTGGCCAATCCAGCCTCCTAGGAGAGGGAATTCCACAGTCAGGGTGCTGCCACCTAAAAGACTCTGTCCTGCATTCCCATCAATCTAACCATTCTTGTTTTGGGGCACATTCAACAGGATCTATTACCATAAACTACAAAGATGTTCATGTGTGAAAAGGTGGTCTTTCAGATGTCTTGGTCTGGTTCCAACCCCTTCAGGATTTGAAGATCAGAACAAACATTTTAAATTGGTCCAGCAAATTAATTGGAAGCCAGTGCAGGATTGGTGTGACTTGAGTCTCTAATAGGTCTATAGTCTCCATACCAGAAGTTTTATGAACCCAAGCAATCAAGGAAGGCTGGGAGAGTGGGGAGGCATTTTTCTTCCAAGATATTTATTTATTTAAAATCTTTGTATTCTGCCCTTTACAGGGTCTCAGGGTGGCAATTTCCATTTTTTAAAAGTACCAGTGCAGGTCATTATATCTATACCATACCTAATCAGGCAAAAAATATTTTGGGCATTCTATCACAAACAGGCATTCTCTCCTTTTAGTATCTTCTCATCCAGTGCACCGAACTCTGAAGTGTTTTCACCACTTTTGTTCTCCAAAGATCCATTCTGTGGCTTATGCATTCCAAAGTTTCAAAATGGATAAGAGAAAACTTTTAAAGTCTTCTTGCAGGTACCTTCCATGAGCATTTGTTAGTTCTATACAGATTATGAGACACCGACCTCAACCAAATGGGTATATCAGATGATACAGTTCAGCACAAGGCGTTCTTAGTGCTCCATATTATGCGTGTGATGTAATGCATTATACTGTATATATATCATACACCTATTATATATGTACATGGAAAGACAGTTGCTGGTCCACATGGAATGTTCTGCTGGATCTCATAGAAGCACTCATAAGATTTTCTCCTGCTTCATCTACTGCTGGAAGAAAACATGCATGCCATTTTCCTGTGACCAGGTAAATACCTGTGCTGACATGACAGCAACTTTATTAACCTACTCTTGAGTCACACAGAAAGAAGGGAGTCTACCAGTAATTCTGGGTTTTATTCTGGCTGACTGCCATTGGAATGGAAACAGTTGGTGTGATGTCTTTACTCCCCTGCAACTGCAGCCCCTATGACCCTATCTGCTCCATGGGTATATAGGACAGGGAATTTTCAGTGGTGTCACCTAATCTCTGGAATTCCCTCCCTTGGGATGCTTAGGCCATGCTGGCTGTAAATGATTTTGCTCTTTTCTGCTCTGTTTTTAATTTGTTATATCTCATTCATTTCGCTCTATTTTGAGGGTTTTGCTGGCTAGCTGAAATATTCCAGTTTCCTTTGGATGTCTCTTTAAAAGCTCCTTTAGGAGCCGACTGGCAGCATAAAAGGTTCAGTATTAGCTCAGTGAGACAGTAAACCCTGCATTTGTTTCATTATTTTATGAAAAATCAGTGTTTACTTTAAAAACTTCAACGTATTCCTAGCAATATAACAGAGGAAAAAGTTGCAATGACACCAAAGAAGAAGAAACTTGTACAGAAGCAAAACTGTATTTGCAAGGAAGCATACATTTATACTCCCCCAGAGCCTTCAGGAATCCTTCCGGATCCATCCGGCTCCGGGGGCGGACCCACACTATCTGGAGTACGACAGCCTCGCAACAGTGACTCATGCACTGGTGACTTCCCGTCTTGACTTCTGTAACGCACTCTACGTGGGGCTGCCCTTGAAGACGGTCCGGATACTTCAATTGGTTCAAAATAGAGCTGCCAGGCTGCTGACGGGAACTGGACGTTATGCTCACATGACTCCAGTTCTCCGTCAGCTTCACTGGCTTCCCATTGAAGTCCGGGCCCAATTCAAGGTGTTGGTGATGACCTATAAAGCCCTTAATGGCTTGGGTCCTGGTTACCTGAAGGAGCGCTTACGTCCATATATGCCTAGCCGCCCCTTGAGATCAGCAGGAGAGGCCCTCCTCCGGGAGCCCTCAGTGAAGGAAATTAGGAGGGTGGCTACTCGGAGGAGGGCTTTCTCAGCGGTGGCGCCTAAGTTATGGAATGCGCTCCCCAGAGAGGTCCTCCTGGCGCCGTCGTTATTTGTTTTTCGGCGCCAGGCGAAGACCTTTTTATTTAAGCAGCATTTTAAATGTTAATATTATTGAATTTTATTCGGCCAGGGCGGCTTATTTTATTTTACTGTATATATTTTAATTGTTAGTGTTTTAATGTATTTTGTATTTGATGTTGTAAGCCGCCCCGAGGCCTTGGCAAGGGGCGGCATAGAAATGTTTTAATAAATAAAAATAAAAAATAAAATACATTTAACCAAACAAACATTATGATTCTCCTACTTTATAAAACTGCAGCCTGCGTCCTCCAGTAGTTGTAAAATTTGTGTTTTATAGCACCACCCTGTGGTACTAATTAGACATACTTAAGAAAACAATTTTACGGATGAGACCAGAGACTGGTTGGAATTATCGAGAGAAGAAGTTTATTTACCTGCAGGGACCACACTCATTAGAATGCGGTCTCGAGCAGAGGGAAAACATTGTTTTTATACTCTTCGACACTTATGCTTGAATGACAGCGAACAATAGGGGAGAGCACATTTGCACATTTATCATGCTAAAGCAAGCAAGCGAGGGTACAAGGGCGTAACGTCTGCGGTGATGCTGGTAATGCTGGAGCGTAGCCTGCTTTGTTGTCAGCCTTGCGTAGCGTGCACATCCGTGTTTGTGTCCTTGTTCTCATGTGAACAGGACACCCTGACCATGCTTTTTACTCGTGACGAGCCATGCCCTGGCTGCGTGTTTGATTATGAGGGGGGTTACAACACCTGGCTTATTGAAGATCATACTTTTGCTTCTACTGACACTGCAAATTCTTCTGTTGCATCTAACAAAATAATACATAAATGAACAAGAGGATGCCTTTGTTGAATGATTGAATTAAAATACATGATCAACAGCTATAGGGAGCTCAGAGAGACAATCACTGTTTATCAGATACTTTTGTTAAATTAATTATTTTAGAGTTCTGTACATCTTAGTTACATTTTAGAAACATAGAAAATAGAAACAGAACTAGTCAGAAGGGATCTCCCAGGTCATCTAGTCTGACCCCAGGCTCCAGCCAACTCCGCTCACGACATGCCCACCATTTTAAATGTCAAGTCTCACTGAATTGCAATAACTTACTATTAAAATACATGCTTCATGACAGTCATTTATTCCAAAGTATTTATTTAAAGAAACATGTTTAATTATTTTAAATGAAGATCAAAGAATTCCCTTTTGCATGCTTTTAAAGGGACCTTTTGAGTTCATTCCCACTGGAAATTCCTTTTAAGACTCCTTAGCTGACTAAAAACTTCACCACTGTGTCTCAGTTCAACTGGAAAGTGAATTAATTGCTGTGCTTATTGCGCAGAGTATATTTTGAAGACAGTGATTATGGGATAAAATAGTTGTCTTTTTGTAGTAGCACATGTGGGAACCAGGTAAAAGGTGAGAGAATCATATTTCATTTACACAGAGAGTACGTGTCACATTCTCACTGGGCCTCACCTGTTAAAAAGCAACTTCCTTTGTTCTATGTCAGTCAGAAGCAGAGTAGTCCTGTCCAGCATGGCGAATATTTCCCTGGGGAGAAGCATTTGCCCTCTTGCCCTCTTCCTTCTTACCACTTTGACTTGTGGCGCAGCACTTGCACAAGAGGCTCAAGGACAACAAAAGGAAAACAATGCTTTTCCACCACTATGGCACCTTGCACCTGGAAACTTGGAAGATTACCCCAGAGAGAGGAACAGGATTGTCATCAATGCCTGGAGCTACTTGGAGAGATTGGGAATGTATAAGATCTTGATTAACAGCTCATTCAGTTCTTCCACTAGCCATCAACACAGGGATGCCAGCAATATTTTATGGGGCTTGCCCTTGCAGCACGGCTGGCAATTCGAAACAGGTATACACAATTTCATTATGCTCTCAGCCTTAAAGAGTGTGATCCACCTGTGTTTGTCCTTCTAACAGAAAGGGACATTTTGGACCTCATGGTGTTAAACAACCTATTGGAGCTTTTTGCTATGCATTGCAAGACAAAAAAAGACATCCCCAATCTATGGAATGCGCTCCCCAGAGAGGTCCGCCTGGCGCCGTTGTTATTTGTTTTTCGGCGCCAGGTGAAGACCTTTTTATTTAAACGTCATTTTAATTGTTAATATTATTTGTTTATTTTATCTGGCCAGGGTGACTTATTTTATATTGTTAATTTGTTTTATGTATTATATTTTATGTTGTGAGCCGCCCCGAGGCTTCGGCGAATGGGGCGGCATAGAAATGTTTTAATAAATAAAATAAATAAAAACTCCATATTTGCCATGGAGCACAAATTTGGCCGGTCTTCAGAAAGGCCCCAATGACCCACTTGTTTTGGCTGACCTTCCCATAATTTGCTGGTTTATAGGGGTAAGATTCATTTTTATAGTGTCTTTTAATATTTTATTGTAAAGTATGTGTGTGTGTGTAATCTGGTAATTTTCTTGAGAGGACTATCCTTAAAGGAGGCCTAAAATAAATTTCAGCAAATATATACAGATAACTAAATATAGGATTGCATTGTGAGATATATTTGAGAGAAAAATTGGCAGAAATGAGAAACTTTAAGTATAACCTCCAACTCACTGATAATTCCCTCTCATTTCTTTAATGTCAGGCAAACATGAGTTTGGCAATGAATAGTTCTCAGGGGTCCATAACTATAAATTTAAAGCAAGAACTAGATACTAAATTGCATTTCAAGTGAGGTAAACTTGGAAGAAAGGACAATTCCAAACCATGAATGGATGGCATTTTATTTTACCTGGTTCACATTAACCTGATCACAATCAAGCATAGCAGGTTTTGTTTCTGCTAAAACCAGGATTGTCAAATATCCTAAAGAGTGCTTGAAAGGGAAACAGAAATTTATTTTTTTCTACAGTTAAGCAATACAATTCATCAGCCAACACTCAGCTTTCCTGACTGGAAAGTTAAATCAGCCAGTATCAGGATCTGAGAAATTTGTACCTATTGGTGATGAATGAGCTGCACTTAAATGAGGAATACTTTTCTGATGACAATCCAGTTAAATATTACAGTAGAGACATATGTAAGGGCTCCTAACACATTTTCAAGCTGGAAAGCAGCTGCCAGAGAGAACAGAACAATAGTGGGAATTGGAGGTAAAAGGAGATGCTGCTTATCTGTTCCTCTTCTAGCTTTCCTGGCAAATTTACATCAAAAGCTGGTTTTTCCTGTGACAGTTCCCCTCACCCTTACATGAAATTTAGCCTGTAAGCCTTATATATACTAGACTTTTGCAGCCATCTCCAAAGCAATTCACTGAGAAAAAGAAAAATAGAGCCTTTAAACCTTTAGGGCCTTTTTTTTTTTTACTGTGGCAACAAGTGGACATTTATTTAGAATTAGGCAAAACAACTTCTTCACTATTGTAGCTTTCTTTTTAATGCTGATGTGGCATTAAGCAATGCTGCAGTGCATTTCCCCCTAGGATGTTTAGGTGCGAATGAGGACAGGCTTCCTGCACCTATAAAGAGGTGAATTTCAGCAGGTGCAGTGTCTTAACGCCCTATAAGCCAGGCTGCATCCCATGCACAGCAACTTGAATACCTGACAGCATGTCGTCTGGACAGTTAAACCCAGCGGAGCTTATTTGTGAGGAGTTGTGCAAAAGATTGCACTGTGAGGAATATTCTTCCATACTGACCATGTTTGGCTGTTTCTGCGAGTATTTCACCAATATTTTCCTGCTAGTGTCTCAGCCGTGTTCCGTGTGGTTTCCTGTATCCCCTGATTCTTCCCCTTTCCATTTCTTTTATCCCTCCTTTTTGCATGACAATGTACAGATAAGACCTCATGGATATACATCAATAACAAATATGCTTCACCCATATAACTCAGTCTTACCATTGCATAATTGTGCTTGATTTTGCACAGTCTGGTGTGTACAAGGTGAAATAAAATGGCAGCAATCTGTAGCTTGAAATCATCCCTTGTTTACATCCCTTGAAACATGATGTGATACTTCGGTTTGTGCTTTAAAGTTTAGCCCCTACATATTTATGGGGTGGAGCTCTTGTTGCCCACTCATGTTTGCCTTAGAAAAAGAAATGTGATGGGGAAAACATAGTGAAGAACTAGAAAATCAGTGGGTTGTTCTTAACACAGAGACACTGAACAGCATCCTTGACTCCCCAGACTGCATACTAGGAATGCATACAATGTAACAGGGGAAGGGGAAACATGTGGGTCTCCAGATGTCTTGGAGACAACAACCCTTGAAAACAACAACCCCCACAACCCTGACAATGGCTGTTCTAGTTGGCCTTATGGGACCTGTAGGCCAACACATCTGGAGGACCAGTGGCTGCCTTCACTTATACAATATAGCAGCAACACGAACATCTTTCATAGATTTCTGCTAGGAATAGCCATCCTGGCCTTCTGGAGAGACAAGGGACAACCAGGAGTGATTTTGGTGTGGAGTATGTATCAATGGGCATATTAGCTCAGATCCCTAATGCTTAATGAGGTCCAGCTGCCTAAATAGGCTGCTCTTGGTATATTTTCCAGAGACAATGTTTTTCCAATTTCTCCTTGTTACAGCAGATCACCTCCAGTGCTTGCGCAAACACAAGCTTGGAAGCTTCACAATGGTGTTGCCTCTAGGTTTTTGTGGGCCAGTAGGTAGGTCTTGTTTGCTTTTCCAGCAGAAGTCAGTCAGGTGCCTTTGACAGCAGTATTGTCATGTCAAGAAAAGAATTATGGCAGCCCCTCTCTTAGCAGCCCAGCCTAGGGTAATTGATAGGTCTTGTTCTCCTTCCAAGCAAAAGTAGGATCAATTAATGGTTAAACACATCTGCCATTCTATTCAGAAATTGTTCATATGAGGCAAGTTGTAAAGAAATCACAGTTCTCAATGAGCAAAATTCTGTGCCATTGCTTTGCCATTTATGTGAATGCAAATGTATGCAATGCTGTTTGATTGTATTTCCTTCCAGGCAGACTAGCTGATCCTACTGATGCCACAACATGTGGCCATAAAGATGGAGATAATTTGTGCATATCTGTACAGAGCTGGTGGGCATGTAAGTATATATTCATGGCATGCTGCTTGGTCTCCCAAGTAATTCAGAATTTGCCATCCAGTTGGACTGGAAGAGTGTTGCCAGCTGCTGATTCCTTCTCTGGTCTGAATGTGAGGGAAGGAAAGGAGGGCAGAAAGCTGTTGGACTGAAGAGAGAATAGAAGGCAGTGTGGCTCATCCTGGTGAAAGTGGATTTAAGACACACACACACAAATCAATTGCTAACAGCTGTACAGCACGGCTGGTTAAAAACTGTGCCTTGTCATTAGTGGCATCATGGGTACAATGCCCAAGGTGCTTCTGACAGTCAAACAACCACATTTTATACACACCCCCATGATCTCCATATTTGTTATTTATTATTATTTATTTAGAATTTTTGTGTGCCATCCCATTCACATGACCCTCGGGATGGTTTACATACAATAAATAAATACAATACAAATAGTGCACATAAAATCCAGAATCACCCTGGCTGCAAATTAAAAACCTATAGGTGCTATTAAAAATGGTTAAAATACTGCTTAAATAAAAAGGTCTTCGCCTGGCGCCGAAAAACAAATAACGACGGCGCCAGGTGGACCTCTCTGGGGAGCGCATTCCATAGATGGGGCGCCACCACAGAGAAAGCCCTCCTCCGGGTACTTAGCCTCCTAATGCTTTTCATGGAGGGTTCCCGGAGGAGAGCCCCTGCTGCTGATCTCAGGGGGCGGGAGGGCAAATAGGGAGGCCATGAAGTCCTGAGCCGCCCCAGTCAGACAAGTCTGGCACAACTGATGGGTTGGCATCACATTTCATTACCTCTGAAATGTAGTAGAACCACGAAACATCCTTCAGTGGAAGGGCAACATGAGCACACGTGTGTCCTAGCAAAATGAAGGATGAAGAGCGTGTTGCTATGTCTCCACCAAACAAGTCTGTACATTAGTGACCCTAACTAAATTCTAAGAACTTTTCAACATTTAAAGCTTAGCAGGTACTATTTGGCTATCTTGATGTTTGTCTGCTTCTTTTAACAAGTTGCATGACATTTTCTTGCTTCTGTCACTTTCCTTTCTGTTTCCCATATGCATTCTACATGTGTGAATCAGCCTTATGTTGTATTTAAGAGTAAGGCAATTGAAAAAGCTGGAACTTAGTCCTGTCTAAAACTGCATAGAATCAGACTGTAAGTTATCAACACTCGTTAAGTTCATTTCATTTGAATGCTTTTCTGTTTGCCCTGTCATTATTTCAGCTAAATCAGCTTGACTTCTGTTCACTGTTCTAGGTATGAATTACTACCTAGCAGTTATTCCATTTCTGGGGGCACTGGATAGTGGCATCCTTGGAGAGCTGCCATATGAGATAGAAATATTGCCCCCAGATGGGCACAGAGCTGACTTCTGCCACAGCATTGCTGAATGCCGTGCCCAGGCACCAAATGTTATGTCCGCCTGGAGGGATTTCTTCAAGGTACTGTTAGTATTTTTCATACTGACTAGATGGATATCAGGGAGGTATTAATCTCTAATTAATATGTTCCACAGTAAATTCATAGTCCTACAGAGCTAAACTTTATTGGAGCAGCTTCTGGTTTCTGTTTTTTACCTTATCCAGCCAGCAGAATGAGGAATGCTCTGTCTGAATAGTAAACACTCAACCCCACATACAGGGGCAAAACTTTCTGACCACCCACACTATGACCAGGCACTCCTTTCCAATGGTTGCTGGCATCTTTTCCTGGGACAATTTCAGCTCAAATAGATGACTGGCCTTAAGGCCTTCCTTGCCTTCTTGCAACAGACCAGCCCGAATCCCCACCTCCTAGACATCCATCTGCAACACTAAAGGAGCCCAGAGTTCGGCACCTGCAATACAGGGGCTGATTAAAGGTTTCATTTATTGCCTCAACTGCCTGTTCACATTCCCCAGTCCAAACCACCTGTACTGGGTTCCATTTTTTACAGAGATTGATTAATGGGGCTACCAACTGGCTGAAATGGGGACAAACCACCTGTAGTATCCCAGGAATGACTGAACTTGCTTCTTTGTCTGGGGTGCCACTTCTGCACTGCCTCAATTTTCACTTCCAAGGACTGCAAATTTCCACTCCCCACCTGATGTCCTAAATATACTACTTTCCCCAACTCAAACTGACATTCCTGGGCTTTGATGGTCAAACCTGCCTCCTGAATCCTCCTACACACCTCTTGTACATGTTGTAAATACATTTCCCATGTTGGACTGAAAATAGCTACCTCATCCAAGCAAGCACAAGTAAACTCTCCAATTCCATTCAGCAGCCCATTAATTAAACACTGAAAGGCAGCCAGGTCCATTTTTGATCCAAACAGCAGGACAGCAAACTAATATAACCCTAAATGAGTAACTAAAGCCATCTTTGCTGCTGACTCTTCATTCAATGGCACTTGCTAATAGCCCTTCATCAAGTTGATAGTGGTAATATACTGGGCCTGCACTAGTTTTTCAAGCAGGTAAACCACTCCAGGCATGGAAAAGGGGTCTGGGTAGTAAGCTGATTTAACCTGTGAAAATCAATGCAGATCTGACCTCTTCTTCTGGGTCCAGCTTCCCCACCAAAACTACAGGTGTGCTCCAAGTAGACTGTCCTGGAACAATAACCCCCACTTCTAACATTGGCCGGATTTCCTTAGCAATGGTCTGCACATGGGCTCTGCTAGTTCTTCTGGGTCAACATGTTTGACTAAATGGGTTTGTCCTGGGATACAAGAAAACAGTGTTCAAAAATCTTGCAGGACATTCCACAACTGCTCTCACTGCTGCCCTGTCAAACTGGAAGGTAGGTGGGCCTTCTCAATTCCCCCCTTCTTAGACTTTCCTCAAACAGATCCACCACTTGCTTCAGATGCATCATCACCTCTGCCCGATCGTAAAATGGTTTCATCATGGTCACATAAAATTTCTGAGTTTTCTGCACTCGGATTAGCACATAGTTCACCTCCCCTTCCCATTGTTTCACTTCCCAAGGTCCATCCCAACTCAGAGCCATCTTATTGGGCTTAACCAGCCAACACCAAAACCCAATCCCCTGGCTCGATCTCTCTTAATCGGGGCATCCTATCATGCCATACTTTTTGTTTCCCTTGCTCCTGTTCCAAATGTTACCACTCCCCCCCCACCCCTTCCAAAGTCCAGTATAGATTTTGCATAAGTGCGACCACCAACTGGGGAGCCAAGTCCAGTTTTCCTTCCAGTTCAGCCTTCAGTAAGGCTAAGGGTCCCCACACTTGTTCCTCAAACATCAGTTTGTGAGGAGAACATCCCAAACCTTCCTGGGGAGCAACCCCAATACAAGAACAGCAAGTAGGGCAATGCTTGATCCCAGCCCTGGGGATACTGTGTCACAAAAGCATAAATCATTTGTTCCAGAGTGTGGTTCAAAAGCTCTGCTAGCCCATTGCTTTGATAATGGTAGGGTACTGAGATCACATGCTGTATCCCACAGTTTCTGCACTAAATGAGAAACAAAACCTGAGCCCTGGTCAGAAAATAACGTCTTGGGCATACCTAATCTTGCCACCACTGATAACAGACTTGGGCTGTAGTGGTCACCAAGATGGAAGCCAATGGAATTGCCATGGCATAGTGGGTAGCAAAATCTATAATAGTTAAAATAAACCTTTTCCCAGTCCAAGAAGGAGGCATAATGACCCTGGACCTATGATGCCCATTCCCACTCTTTTGAAAGCCATGTCAACCACTGAGGAGGGCTGAAGGGGGCATTCCATACATCCTGCTGTGCTCCACCCTGCCAGAGCTGGCAGACTAAGCATGACTGACAATACTCCTTCATTGTCTGAGCCATCCTGGGCCAATAAAAACCTTCTGACACTCATTGTTGGGTCAGTTTAGTCCCCATTTGCTCACCCCCTCCCCCAATGCTGCATCATGGACCAATTCTAACACAGCCTGTTGATACCCTCGGGGAACCACTAACTGCTGTTCCGTTGTGACCCTGCTTGAGGGTCTGCCACCTCTCCTCCCCTCCACTTCCTCAGTTTCAGACAATCCTGCTTCAAGTGGTCCACCTCTTTATAAAAGAAGCACCTGGTACTAGGAGAGGTGGCAGACCTTCAAGTAGGTCAAGACTCAGCTTTCTTCTTGAGTTCTCCTTGTGCCCCCCTTCTTCACTCTGGCAATTTTCTTTCCATCACCCTTCGTGGTCCAGAACTTCCTCTCTCTTCTGACTCACATCCAGTCGATCTACTAGCAGTGCTGCCTCTCTCATGGTAGTGGGTTGATGATCAGTCACCAACGTGGCTAAAGCTTCTGGTAAGGTGGAGATAAAGTATTTCAAATTGGTGACCCCTGCCACCTCCATCCAGGCCTCCCTATACCTCTCCAGGTGGGCACCCCAAGCTGGGAGCCCTTTGTTGGGTAGCCGGAGCTGCAGCTTGACAGAGCTGCAGCTGGCAATGCTCAGTGGATACTGGAACTGGGCCCACAGATCACTTATGGATCCAAGGTCTAGAAGTCTTCACTCCCAAGTCCACCAGTTCATCATAAGTGTGAGACCATAGCATTATTGTTTTAATGTATTTTGTATATGATGTTGTAAGCCGAGGCCTTGGCAAGGGGCAGCATAGAAATGTTTTAATAAATAAATAAAATGATCATTCTGTTACCACCTGCCACTCCTCATTCCTGACAAGTAGCTTCAAACAGAGTAAAGAACTCAGAATGTCCTGTCCTGACTTATACATGGGAAATCCCTTTTGGGCTGCCAACAAGCAGATGACTCATGGGGTGACAGTACCCAGGTGACAGTGGTATACCTTCAGGCCTGCAATCTCCAACCTTGGGGAAGTGTGAATGGCTCTGTCCTTGGAAGTGATTTGGGGCATGTTCCATTCCCATCCTGGTCTTGGCACCTGGTTTTGCTTGAGGTGCCACCTGGCTGAGATGGCCTGACTTTCATGCCCAGGATTAACCCTTCTGTTCCCAAAAGGCCTTTAACCAGTTCTCTGTTACAATGCAGTTCAATCCTATGACAGCCTGAGGAGAGCACCATACTATACCATATCTAATCAGTAAAACCAGCCAGCCAGCCAGCCAACCTCTGTGGGCATTCTAATACAAACAGGCATTTCTCCTTTTAGTATCAAATGTCAGCTGCCCAGAACTCTGACATTTCTGCACCGCATTTGCTTTCGGAAGATGATGCATTGAAGCACATGTGGGAAGCCCATGTCTACTCCATTGTGTTTGCATTGCCCAAGTTTCAAAACAGGTAAGAGAAAACTACTAAAGTCTTCTTGCAAGTACCTTTCCATGAGCATTGCTTAGTCAAGTGCGGCTCTTGAGACACCAACTTCAGCGGGTGCACGTCTCAGCCCTTTCTACAGAAAAGCACTCAGAGAGCAATGCACCCACCGGTCAGGTGCCATGAAACATATCCCTGTGAAGCTGCCCACACTTATGTCAAGGCAGAAACCATGGAACCTTTGGCTAGCAGACTGAATGTCGGCAAAACTAAGGCATGCCTTCACTTTTCCCCCTTCCATGTTTCAGGCTACCATTCCTCAGTAGCTCGGAAAGCAGCTTTGGGGTGGCATGGGCTACTGCCGTTCACTTCATTGCTGCTACACGTTTTCCTACGGACCAGAACACTACAAATCATTTCCAGACTGGGTTACCACCTCGAATGCTTCAGGAAGGGGACAAAGCACCTTTCATTCCAGACTTTACCCCTGTGCAGAATAGGATGGTGTATATGATTGAGACTCTTCACAAGGCAAATGAGAAATCAGGTAGGTGCTCATTGCCCATAGTTCCTGCATTAGAGTCATTGACAGAGGACTCAGCAATGCAAAAGGGGTCTCTGATTGTTCTTTGGCTTGCGCAAGTGTCTTTTGGTTACCACAATCCTGTGCACTGCAGCTGTGTTTGAAAGCTGAAAGTCCTCAGTTCTCAGCCTTTCCCATCCCTGCCTTCTGCCCACCAGGCTTCAGATGGACCATACTCGTTAAAAAATTTTCAGAGCACCTATGATTGTTTGATCATTGCAGTTCCAGTTACATTTTAAATGTGTTATTAAAAAAGGGAAAAGAAACGAAGTCCAGGTGGCACTAAGAATGCATTTATTCAAGTAAGGTGTAAACTGGTGACTTGTGGGGTGGAGAACTTTAACCCTTTCCCAGCCTCACAACAATTGCCTACTTTCTCAGAAAAGCAAATACCCACGAAGTGTGGACTTACATACAGAGATGCTTTTCAGTTATATGGAGGCACGTCATGCTGTGCATGTCTGTGTCCATGCCACATATCTCTGAGAATCAATGAAGTATTTAATATCTGTATAGCAGTCTTTCTGAATGGCCTAGCCCAGCGGTGGCGAACCTGTGGCACGTGTGTCACAGCAGGCACGCAGTGCCCTCTCTGTTGGCATGCGAGCCAAGTCGCCCCAGCATCACCCCAGCAGCTGAGCCTCGGAAAATAACACACACAGGGGCTATGCGCATGCTCGGAAAGGAGTAGCCGTGCCAGGCAATGATGTCAAGGGCTGCAACTCATCAGCTGCAACTCCTCCGAGCTTTCGCATGGCTGGTCAGTGCACTGCCAAGGAAATATATATTTGGTTGGACTGGCTGTGAGTTGTTTTTTCTAAACTAAAACCTCAAGTTTTCAGGTTTTATTGCAGGGGTTGGCACTTTGCAATAAATAAGTGGGTTTTGAGTTGCAGTTTGGGCACTTGGTTTCTAAAAGGTTCACCTTCACTGGGTTAGGGTTACAAAAATGAGGTGTCCTGGCATGATTTTGATGGTTGGAATGTGTTTAGAATGAGCAGAAAAGATGAGCCGTGTAGAAAAAGCTACTCAAGGAAGAAAAGCAGAGCAAAGAAAGAAAAGGAAATGCAATGGCACATAGTAAGGGATGTAGCTATATAACCACAAGGGCGATTCATCAGTGGAAGAGGTCATCTCTCATATTCATGCCTGAAGACATCAGAATTCTTATCCTGTGCCTGGTAGTCGTGGGTTAATGAGCTGGCTGTGTATTAAATATCTACCTGCTTTAGGCCTGGGAAGTCATGCACACTTCTAATGTGTCATCCATTTATAGGATATAATACAGGAAATAACTTCTCAGTTGGTGTTGATCTGAGAGAACCACCATGGTATAGTGATTAAGAGTGTGGGACTGGGACTCAGAGGAGATCTGGGTTTCAGTCCTTGCTCAGCCATGGACTCAGCTGGGTGACTTTGGGCCAGTCACCATCTCTCAGCCCAACCTACCTCATGGGGTTGTTGTTGTGGGGATAAGAATGAAAGGATGAGGAGGAGAATTATGTAAGCTGCTTTGAGTCCTTTAACAGAAAAAGGTGGGGCATCAGATAAACAGAATCAGATAAACAAACAAATAAATAAATAGAAGTACTTAAGAAAACAATTTTAGCTGGAATTGTCAAAAAAATCCTATTTTTGCTTTTACTGTCACTGAAAATTCTTCTGTCTCATCAGACAGCTTAGCATAAGCAGATAAGAAAACACCTGTATTCTGTGATTGCATTAAAGCATATTATCATATAGGGAATTAGGGGAATACTTTGTGATTATTGGTCCATTATTGGTTGATTCTCTCTGGCTTCTGCTGTTTCCAGCATGGGATTGAAACATGGGAATTATTGTGCTTCTTTGAATAACTACTGATTTCTAGATTTTACAGTCTTATCTGTCAGTGTAATTGGCTTTTTAAGATGCTTTTTAAGATGTTGAGTCAACAGGTAATCATAATCACTGTTATAATAACCACCCACTATTCTCTTCTGAAAGAACAAATGTGCATGAATTTGACACTTACCTCTTACACACAGCCTGGGCCACCATCTGGGAAAGATATCCCATTGAATTCAATGGGATCTATTCTTAGCAAAGTGTATGTTGGTAAAGGCAGTTGGCTTCCCTTGCAACTTACATTTTTAATGGCTGATGCAGCTTTCTTCCTTAAACAGCTCTATGTGTGCATGTAAACAAGAACAATGTGTATAACTACACATTGTGTAAACTATTTTGAGAGCATTATGCTAATCAAATGAAATATAAATGCTTTAAATAAGCACATAAATACCTCACCTGTAACACTGCTTTCTGCCAGGACATAGCAACGGGATTTTGGACATAGGTAGTTAGACTTATGTGGAAAATGTTCTTGTATTTGTTATATCACAGCCTGTCCCAACTGGTGCCTGCCTACAGACATTTAGGGCCACAGTTCTCACAATTCTGGACTGCTGGGAATCGAAATCAAAAGCATCTGGAAAGCGCCAACTCAGGGAAGGCTCCCGTGTTGTTTAGGTATATTACCAGTGATGGTGACCTACACCAGGGTTCTCAGGACAAGTGAAAAGCATTACCTGAAATTGAATTCTCTGCCATGGGTTCATGCTAAATCCACACAGAGTAAGAAAAATAACCTGCAGTGACTGCCTGGTTTGATGACAATAGTTGTGATGTGTGGTTGCATCAAAGGCATAGACACAGTAGCTCCCAAGGTTTTATTTCAAGTCTATGGACAATATCATGTCATACCCTGCTTTCCCTCACATCTCAACCAAAATGTGTGGCCATGTGTGTGTCATACCTTTAACTTATCTAAACCCACCATTGTGTTGGCTATTATTGTCCAGTCTTTTCTAGCAAGTTGTTGTTGCTGTTGCTGTTACTGTTATTTTTTAGCAGATTGGACTGTTGATAGACTTTGTAATATTGTTGTAAAGTTGAACACATTGCAAGTACATTGAGTTGAAAAGCAGATTAGACATTCTCAAATAAATTAATAAATAAACAAATGCACATTATTTTCCAGGAGGAATGTTGCTGCTGCTCTGGAAAGTGGCCATGTCTACTGAAGAACAAAGAAAAATTGGTCGTAGTCTTATTGAACTTTTGTTTTCAGGCGCCTCCTTTATGGTGCCTAATTTTTAAATAAAAATAATTATTTTCCCAACAATGTATCAACATTTGGATAAAATTTACAAGATTCTGTTTGATTCAATGTTGTTTGAAAGGCTAACATTTTCAATTCATCCTCCATTTTCACTTTTTGTGGATTAAATCTTCAATCCTATTCATGTTTACCTGATGTTTACTATGGAAATCCCATACCACTGTAAATCACCAGACAAAATAATATGGTATTAAATAAAACTGAAACTGAATCATGATTTTGCCTGTACAAAGACTCTAATAAGTTTTACTCATATTGCTCAGAAAGGCACTTTCTGCACTGTCCTAGAATGGTTCTTCAACTACAGCAGTTCATATTTTTAATGGCTATTATCAGATACATGCAAAACAGTTTCAAAGAGTAACAATTTATCCCCTTTGTGAGGTTGGCTCCATGTGGTTCAATCTATTTATCTACTGGGCATTTTAATGCATTTTATCAGACCCACATAGCTTTCCTTCAGAATAACAGTGACTAGTCTGAGCACAGTTCCTAAAAAGTACGGAGAAGGCAATGGGTGGTTTGACCTTTATGACGTCTTTATGCACTCTTTTGAGGTCTTTATGCACACAGTATCTGGTTGCTCCCGAAAGCAGAGGGCTGGTGCTTTCTTCTCTCCCAGCAAGAAAGATGTTGCACAAAGTTAAACAGATGGTAGGATGGACAATGGACATCAACCGTCTCCATTAATCGTCCACTTAAGTGATTGCTTTTACTGGTGGAGGTGGGACAAATGTGGCCTGCAATGTCACCAATTCACACATTTTAGGAACAATCATGTGCATGTTTAGACAAAAAAATATCTTACACAAACATCATTTTTTCCCACTTTTCCTTCCTTGTTTATTTTTCCTCTGGAACACACCACAAACATAGAAATGCATAGATTTCCAACTGCAAATTGCCTTACGTCTACTTTCAGGTCAAAGATGTGTGAATTGCCCAGTCATGCATTAACACACGAATCTGATGAATATCTCAGACTTTTTTCAAAGAGAACTCTACTTGAAATACCTGCCAGTACTTTTCTATAGCTGTCTTCTGGCAATGTCTCTTCACTCTGACAGTACCAAAGGGAGCCCACGCATGAACATTTACCTGTATGTTCACAAAAGCAGGCCGTCTGAGTCGGAGCTAAGCTGAAGATTTGTTTAGAAGCTACAAACAGAAACAATGGTTTGTTCAGTACCACAGTAGCTTGTTGTGTTATCCAAACCTAGGAAAAACAACCCATTGCGGTATGAAGGCCAGGACCAGAGTCCCTTGGCAAGAGTGACCTGTTTCTGCCCTTGCCAAGTGGCTAGCCACTGAGAGCCACCATTTTGCTTGGCTGTCAGAGAGGCTCCCGCTCTTCCCACACCCCAGAAGCTACTCCAGATCTTTGCTGCTGCTATTGTTGACCTAATGAGGTTATCAGCAAGAGAACTCCATCTCCAACCATCCAAGTGGGTTTACTGGGGCTCCAATGACATGTGGCTGTGATGTAGTTGAAGGAACAGTATTTTAAAGGCACACAGGATTGAAACTGGGTGAATGCCACCTCCCATCCTGTCCCCCCACCATTCCAACAAAAGTGAATGGCAGGACATGACCACTCTGCTTCCCTGTAATTGCTCCTATGTACCAGTGCTCCTTCCAGTGGGCCTGAAGGGGCTGGACGAGGCAGAATGAATGTTATGTACCAGGATTTGCACAGTGCACTGCTCACAACGGGCCAGAGGCAAGCATGCCCAAGCACTGCTAGTCTCTTTCTAGCCAAGAGACCTAAGCGGGTCTCCTCCTTTATGCAATCTTGCTGTCACTTGGGGTAGCCATTGTGATGCCAACTCTACTTCACTCTTGAATGATGCCACAGTGACATGAAGTAACCTCTCTTCCCTCATGAGCCCTCAAGAAACAAAGGGGGAAATAGTGCTGCCCTTTGCCTTTATCAGAGGGACTGCAGGTGGCGCAGTGGTTTAAACTGCTGAGCTGCTGGGCTGGTTGATCGAAAGGTCACTGGTTCGAATCTGCACAATGGGGTGAGTTCCCATTGCTCTGTCCCAGCCCCTGCCAACCTTGCAGTTCGAAAGCATGCAAATGCAAGTAGATGAAAAGGTACCACTTCAGTGGGCAGGTAACAGCGTTCTGTGCACTTCGGTGTTTAGTCATGCTGGCCACATGACCACGGAGACTGTCTGCGGACAAACGCTGGCTCCCTCAGCTAGAAATCAGAGATGAGCACTGCCCCCTAGAGTCAGGCATGACTGGATGTAAAGGGGAAACCTTTACCTTTTGCCTTTATCACCTACTGAAAAACAATGGTTCAATGATGTCCCCGGTGTGTTTGGGCTCTCCTTGAGGCATGGCTATGGGGCTATCCTGTTGGTGCTTGCCCTTCGAAACCCACCACTGCACCACTGGCCATGCCAGCAGCCTGGATACACCTTTACTCTTGGTCCCTAGTACAGGATGATTTCTTTGTAGTGTAAAGCAAAATGTTTACCCAAAAGATACTTCTGTGTGACCATTAAAAGAAACCAGAAAGGAAATCCATGACACAGCAGGGAGAAAAGACTGCAAACAACAGCAACCATATTGACCCCAAAAGCATACAGTACAGTGAAACATTTTAGAAGAAAGTGTATATATTAGCTATAAACATCTGTGCTATAACTGCATTGCAGGCTTGGCTGGATCAGATAGAAGCAAATAGCTATAAAGGTGTTCCAGGGCACCACCTTGTGGCACTGAGTAGCAATGCTTTGCAGAACAGTTGACCCAGAATTGCCAGAAATCCTGCCTTCCTTTCGGCTACTTCTTCTCGACTGCATCCGGGTGCCCTTTTGCTCTGCAACAGTCAGTTGGCTTGGCCAGTTTTTAGGTGGAATTTACACAGGACCATCATCAAACCACAGCACTGCTGTGTTTTCTCCATGGTTGTTCCTACCTCTGTACGGATAGATCCCCTCAGGGACTGGCTTTGAAATGTTCTTTTGGGCTGTTGGGCCATACAGCATTCCTCTACGTGGTGCCATTGCACTTGGGTGCCACTGCAGTGCCTATTATATTTCCTCCAGCGCCTTTTTATATCGGTGTGGGTGTCTCTCGCTTTCTCGGATACAAGCACTCCATAGTCTTTCTCTTTTGCATCTGTGAGAACAATTTGGTCCCAAAAATGCAAGAAGGGAAATGACTCACAGAAATCCCTCACCCATCCAGTTACCCAGCTTCATAATGAGGAGAGCAACAGAACTGCTGGGTAGTCTTCCACGAACATATATTTACTTGCTCGGTTTTTGTGAAAAGGAATTCCCCGTCCTTTTCTACTTCTCTCCTTCTCTTCTGAAGACTTGTTCTCTTTGTTATTTTGTCTTCAAATGAACTTGGGATATTTAAGCAAACAATGAAGAGAAACCATGTAGGTGAAGGAAGAGCCCCGTGGCCCAGGGCTTCCCTACGTGAGGCACAGAACCCAACACTTCACTGAGAGCGCGTCTTCTGGGTTTTTTTTTTGTGAGTGGATTAGATCATCCTGCAGACAAGTTTTTCTTCTGGGGGTTTTCCTCTGTGTTGCTCTATGTTCCATCATTCAGTACAAAGTGTCTGCGTGGCATTGAGCAAAATTGCAAAAATACACCAGGTCTCTGTGGAAAATAACTGCTCCATCAAAGAAAATACCAGAATTTTCCTTTCTCTTCCCCTCCCTAAATTGCCCGAAAAGACAGGAGAGGCCCTGTCATGAAACCATGAAAAGGCACTGCAAAGTTCCATGGGCGAGGGATCGCATGCACCAACCAATGTCTTATTGTCCCAGTTGGGGGAACAAATCACTTAATCCTGTGAAGATAAGCTGTTATAGTAACAGGCATGGCATAAATGCTTTATGTTCAGGGACTGTCATAACGAGGAATACACTGCAGGAGCACTGCAGGTGATTCCTGAAAGCAAATTATCCAGCCATTCCCAGCTCACGAACTTCTCTCTGGTTTCTTAGACCTTTCCAAAACAAAAAAGGTTAATTTATAAATGGGAAGCTAATTCCCAGTGGGGTAAGTATGCAATGTAATGTAAGGCTCTAAACAAAACAAAACAAAATAGGAGGGAATCTTGTTGCTATTCTATTTTGCTGGAACAGTTTTATAATCATTACATTGCATTGTATTTATATTTTGCCTTTTTTCTGCCCTTGAGGAGCCCAAGGGAGATTACCAAGCGGAGATCTCCTCCACTCCATTTTTGTCCTTACCACAACCCTGTGAGATAGGTTAGGCCTGGGGTCAGCAACCCGTGGCTCCAGAGCCGCATATGGCTCTTTCATCCCTCTGCTGTGGCTCCGTCACTCAAAATATGTGTCACAACCACCCATATGCAACCACATATGTGTCACAACCACCCATGTGCAACACCCACCAGCATGCGATTTACTGAGCTTTTCGACCTGCTGTAGGCCAACCATGGATAAATCCAAGAAAAGAAAAGTTTCAGAAGAAAACAGAACGTTTAATTGTATGCGGGCAGATTCATTTGCTTTCACTGCTGATGAGACTGGTTTACCAGTATGCTCAATATGTGGTGAGAAATTGGCAAACAACAAAAAGTCGAATGGTGCAAGACATTTCCAGAATAAACACACAGCCTTTACTGAAAAATATCCGGATGGAGATGAGAGGCAAAAAAGTCATTTTGGAACTGATGCGGAAGGTTGACCTGAGCAAAAATTATCTCAAGAAGTGGATCAAGTCTGCAAATTCAACTGCATATGCTAGTTTTGCGGCTGCTCTCAGGAAATAGTCACGGGAAGCCGTTCACAGATGGAGATTATATAAAAGAATCATTCATTGATTTCATAAATGCAACACACTATAGTTTTTTATACATAGCACAAAGGTAAAAAATGATATGTGCAGTGTTATCTTCATTTTAGATACCAAAAGGGTTTTGTGGCTCCTGGTGTTTTCTTTTCTGTGGGAAACGGGTCCAAATGGCTCTTTGAGTG